CAGGGAACTGAATTTAAGCAAATCTTGGAGTGAAAGAAGGGGTGATTTCCTGGGGCACTCTCCTGGGATGCACTAGGTCCCAGTTCCCGTTCTGACTACGGAACGGGTTTGCAGATCTGCCTTGGGGAAACTCGTCAGCTCAACTAGCAATTTTGGATGTACCGCTTTCCCCTCAAATCAGGTAGGTCAGGATAGGACACTCAGGGCCCATGTAGGTTTGTAGGATTAGAGACCAGTCTTGCGCACTAATTAGTATCTGCCTAAGTCCATCCTTGTGGAGCAGAGGAGGAGAGAGCAGAGCTGCAATTCCTTGCTGCTGGTGCCCGGAGAGCTGGCGGGTGAGTGCTGCGCGGGGCTACACGGGGTGTGCTCGGCTGAACACCGCTGGTCGCCACGGGACAGCGCGACGGCACGTACCGCGCACCCGCTGCGCGCGCCTGCTCTTGTGCAGGGGCCTGAGTTCAGCACTGTTACCAGGCAGGAGGATTCACGGAGCTTTCACCTTCTACAGGTTAGGCTGGTAATTTAGGTAGCATAAGGTTCCTTCTCTGCTCAGTGAAGAGGAGGCATCTGCTCCCAAGGATTCATCTCACTTGTCGCTGGATGAGCTGAAACACGCTCTGCAACTGCTCGTCTGTCTGCTTCTTCCTGCCTCCTTTCACTGGAGGAGCAGACAGGACAATTACCTTCAGCTAATTACCCAACTCTCAGATAGCTAGAGCCGGCCAGGTGAGTCCCAGCTACAGCACAGGGATGGCACCAAGTTTGGCTCAATGGGTTTTTGCCTAAATGTAAAAACTGGGGATGAAGATGAGGCCCTGCTTTATCTGACCATGTTGGGCCTTGTCTTGGTAGACTGCTCAAACTAGACAAGGAGTAAAACAGCATTTCATGGCATAGGAGTTAAGAAAGGAGAGGCTATGTGGAAGGGTTGGTTTGGAGAGAAACAGTAACAGACGAGCAAGGCCAGAGAAACTGCCCTAGATCTGGGGAAAGAAGTGGAGCCTGGAGCGGGAGGGAAGAAGGGGTTTCCCTCCGTGAGGGAGACCAGCAAAAGGTCTTGTTTTGTCCCCTTCTCGTTGTCTCGTAGGCAAGTACAGCAGGAGTTAGGGGCAGACAGGCCTGTCATATAAGCATAGCAGAGCCACTGAAGAAAACTGCCAAATGGATGGAGGGAGAAGGATAGGCAGTGCACAAAACGCTGGTTTTTTAATACGGCCTACATGGGCCCCTGTTGCTGTTCTGTGTGATTTTGAGCAAGCTGCACCTTTTCACTCGGTTTTCTGGTTGTAATATGGGGATAATACAGCATTAAGACCCCAAGAAGATGCATTTCTTGAGGAATACCAGACATTCCAGTGCTAGGAAGAGCTCCATGTTAAATCTAACATACGGAGAGGCCTCGGCGCCTAGCTGTCCGCTGCCCTTTGCCAGTGACATGAGCCTGCTGGTGTTTGACCCGGGCGCACAGCAGCCTCTGGCCCTCTCTGGTCACCTCCTTTTCACAGGAGCTATTTCTGTAGCGACTTGTTCAGGGTCGAGGTGGCTCTCGGCGCTGGCGCCCATGTTCCCTGCTCTGGGAGGTTTCTTTGGCCCTTTGTTCCTGTCCCTTGCTGCCTTTGGCACAGGATATCCCTGGTAATACTGGGGAGCACTGTGATTTCAGGGTGTGAAAGAGTCTCAGGCCTTTAATCTTGAACTACAAGCTGCATCTGTCACCTGGGTATCGGTAGTGGTTTCCAGGCAACCGCAGGAGTTTATTTTTTATTCGATCCATATTTAAGAAATAATTTGTTCATGCATGAACCAGAATCAGCCTAAACACCACCCCAGGAGACAGAAATTGTAAACTGTAATTTAGTCTAATTCTAGTCTAAAGCATGAATTATAGTATTTTGTATAATCTTGGAAAATATACTCTACAAATATATGTAAGCACAGAGCAGGTACAATTAATGTGAACACGATAGGAAGCTCTGAGTAACTCTGGGAATGTGAGAAACCAAGTTGGAACATATTCTTGACATGTAAAAATATTTCCCACCTGTCTTGTTTGCATAAGAACAAGGTTTTAGCAAGTACATATTTGCATGTCAAAGTTAAAAGTGGGGAAAATATTTTCACCCTTGTAAGGAAAATGCATAATCTTGGTACAGGCAATTTGCATTTAGTAAGTGTAAAGTATCCAAGTGCTTTCATGCCATATGGAAAGTGTATGAACTTGCGACAGCGATTCCATGTCTATGAGCTGATTTGCAACGGCAGCCCCGTAGAGCAGTAATTGATCTGATGTCTCCCCATGCATTAATTTGTAACACAATTGGTTGTGGCAATCCCAAACAATTTGTGCTTCTGAGTTTCAGCCCACTGTACCGCATCTCAAAAGTGCAATGTTAAGTTCAAGTATTAAATGTGGTGCACTAATTGAATCTAAGTGCCTAGAAGATTTACTAAATTCAAGGAAATCTGGAGTTCTAAAATTATAGCTAATTGGGTGCCACTACTCATATATACAACAATCCACAGATACTGGCAGAGCTAGAGCCTGCTTCTGTGTAGATTCTGTTTTGTTATAAGAATAATACACCCTGGAAAATGCATTTGGGACTAATTATTGCACCTTTTAGACTATTAGTAACCTAGCTTCGGGGCATCACTTTGAAGGGATGTTACATTCCTCCAGAAACAGTCTGCAGATGCCCTGTTGCTTAAGAAACAAGGATTGCATAGACAGGCTTCATGGGTGATTTAACTAATATGCTGAAGATTGTAGATAAACAAGATCCAATTATATCATTGCTATTCATAATAAGGCAGTAATTACGTGTATAAAAGTGAAATGTAAAAATATATCGCCATGTAGCTGTTCAGATGGGTCTTGTCAAAGGAGCTGGAGTAGCCTGGTGATTCACTAGCAGAGTATCCTCCTATATTCTAGTAAGCATATATTGAAAAGGCATGATTGGGAATTGATGGATCTATTCCTGAATCGGTCTACAAGACTTCTGTGTGAGTTCGAACTTTAGGTTACATAAGTTTTGAATTTCTGGGAATTTCAGTCTGTTCTTCAATTTATTAATGCATAATATGAATGCAAAGTGGGGCTCATACTACCTTTCCTGCTCTGAAGCTTTGTTCATAAACAAGTGCTGTACTTAGATGGTGTGGTAGTAATTAATGCAGTAGTGCATTACTAAAGAAATATACACTTTATTTTTCCCTTTTATGATTTTACTTCCTGCTCTATTATGTTAAATGTGTTAGCTGAGAGCAAAGTGAAATTAAAACACTTTTTGGAGGACTGCAGGAAGAAGTATTTGTTCCCCTAAGTGTCCTAAACTGACCCTTTAATTTCAGCCTATGGCTTTGTTGCTGCAGGGCAGGTGTGGGCCGAGATGTGAAGAATGCAGAGCTCCTCTGCGGGAATCGGTTGCAAGCGGCGTCCTCGCGTGCGCCAGCGCTTTGGGGACTGCTGATACGGAGATGTCAGCGAGGCAGCGGCATAGCCGTTCAGCTGCTGCGTACTGCTTTCCTCAGCAGAGCCTTTAGGTTCCTGGGAGCAAATGGGAATTATTCAGGACTGCTCTGTTCACTGCATTTGACGGGCTCTGGGGAATGCTTCCAGGGTGTATTTTTGCATAGTCACATCAAGTTTCCTGGTCCTATAGTGTTGGCCTGATCCTGCACTCTGGTGTTGTGCTACAGGGAAGCAGCACACAGTAACATGGGGAAATACAACTAAAGCTACATTGATGCATTGTAAGAAGATATTAATGCAATTTTATGTGTTGCCACAGTCTGGGCTGCCATAAACGTGATGAAATAAAGGCTCTCTGAAGCAATGAGGCATCGTGTGAATGGATTTAAGTCCCTTGCAAGAGATTAACTGCATTTCTGATTGTGAATGAGTCACTGTGAAGAGACCCAGCAAGAGTTGTGCTTGTCCTCCTGCCTGCAGTACCCTAGTTCAGGATAGGGAAGGAAAAACAAGCGTAGCTTGAGCTAAGAAAATTGCTGTGTTTTCTTTTTGTTGTTATTATCGATCTCATATGTTGACTCCCTCTTTGTGTGAGCATATGCACGTATACGTATATGTATGTGTAAAATACGGACTACTGATCTTTGGTATAGTAAAGCGTTGCCTCAGCTTGGTCCTGTGGGAAGAGGGACTTTGCTGGCAAAATGCCCTTAGACACATGGGCGGGCAGTGGTTGGAGTGTTCCTGACACGTGGCAGCCCTCTGGGGAGCTGCTGCCGTTTAGGGATGCGTGCAGGGGGCTTTGTCATACAGTAAGCTGAATGAAATAGGTGTGTGTGACATACCTGTGAAGTTGAGTTAAAAAAAAATCAGTGCTGTCATGGTTCATGTCTCTCTGGCACTTTCCAGAATCTGTTTTCTCCGTTGATTTTTGCAAGCTCAATACAGTGCAGCTGCATTTTCTCCCTCATTCTCTCTGTGGGAGCTAATGCACAAATATGTACTGATAATTTGCTTACAATTTAGGTATGTAAAACTTGGATTTCCTGTGTAAAATAGTATTTACCGTGTTACATGGCTTTCATCCTGGCCTGTGACGTGGACTAGATGTTTCTGTTTAAGGCGTTCGTTCGGTGAGCTTGCATTTTAGGCAAACCTTAAAAGTTACCCTTTATAAAATCACGGGTGCAAGTTTGGAAGAAACCTTTTTGGCATCTTTTTAGCTCTTTGGCCAAAATCAAAACTCTCCTTTTTGGCTTCGAAATGCTGATTCTAGCTTTCTTGTGGGTTCTTAAGCACCTTCTCCAATGACCCATTTTAATAACCCAAAAGCTATTATATAACGAGCAGCCATAATTTAGTCCAAAGCTCTAGGGGACCCTCGGAGTTCAGCAATGAATAGTTAATGCAGTATAATGTTTAGCAGGTTATTAGTTTTCACTGTACAAATGCTGATCAGGGAATGCTTTTATAAGGTGTTTAAAAGAAAATGTAATTAACTGGTTGTGTGCTTCTGTTGCAGCTCAAATTGAAATTATTCCATGCAAGATCTGTGGAGACAAATCATCAGGAATCCATTATGGTGTCATTACGTGCGAAGGCTGCAAGGTAAGCGTCTCAAAAATTAAGTTTTAAAACATCTGCATTTGGCCTTCTGATAGTGATTCTTTCCCTTCATTTTTTAAAAAGCAAATACTGCAGGGAAGTGAAATCAGTAGATTATGAAATCAGCTGGCAATTCTAAAGTACTATCTTTATCGGGTTTTTAAATAGGGCATTTTTGTGCACTGTCTCACCACCTCCCAAACTTTTAGGACAGGCATTAAACGTCATAGGGCTCTCAGCAGTGCTCTGTGTGCACTGTCTCACTGTAAATAAGAAGAGGAGGGGAACAGAAACCACTTAGAGCAAATCCCAAAGGATCTGGTCTGTGGATTCACTTGAGAAGGAATCTGTGGCTTTCTCAATTCTCCTTCTGCATTTTTGTTTTGTTTTGTAAATTGCTAAGAAGCTGTGTTGAGGTAAGGTGAGACTGCTCACAGCCATTTTCCCTTATAAACTGCTGCAGTCACACATTTATTTTACTTAGAAGACATAGAAGGTAAAGGGATAGCTGTGGAAGATGCTGTTGCACAAACAGCACGTTAACTGGTGTAAAAGCTGCCCAGGTCTTCCTGTGAGTAGTGCCTCTTCCTTATACTGTCTCTTGCTGCTCTGGGAAGTTCAGTCTTTTATTCTTTTTTCTGAATTTGAACCCTCAGTTACTCTGGTGTGCACGGATTACAGTACAAATATTAATGTTTTGTTTAGTTTATCTCTCACCACAGAGAGTTAAAGCAGACAATGCTAACACTAGCCCAAGGTGTGCTCTGAAGCTAATCGCTCCTTTTGTCACTAGCACAGAGTTACCACGCTAGCTGGGGAGTGACCTGGTGTGCACATCTGTGCTTTGTTTGTTGCTTTTCTCGCAGAAGTACGTGTTGCAGTTCAGTCCTGATAGGTTCTCTGCTACTGATCTACACTTCAGAATTGAAAAAAAATGTTTTTGTTGTTGGTGTTAGTCTGTTCCCCCGACATGCTTGATACTGCCTTCCATCTTCAAAAAATAACTCTTTGCCTTCATATTCTCGAGATTTCCTTTGTGTTTTTCTGAAGAGAATTTTTGCATTTTCATTCTTGCATCCTTTCAGTCTCATGGTATGAAATAAGCAAAAGTATTAGAATGAAACAGAACTGCCCCTCCTGACCATTGTGACCCTGCTGTTGCTATGGAAGATGCAAAAAATCCACTGAAAAAGCACTGATCGTTGTTTTCACTTCTGTGGAGTAGCTGAACAACATTTATTGACTTCATTCTTGTAAAGTGGCAGGTACTACCACTAACAATTCTGCTCTACAGTTCCACCTTATCCAACAATAACAATTTATTTGTAAGGTCTGAGACCTCTGTAATGCTTAAATGGTCTGGCCTGGTATACCTGAAAGATTGCCTTAGATCCATGACGAGCACCGTTGTCAAGAGACTGAGGCTAGGGTAGTGCCAAGCCTGTCTCTGCAGAAGACAGGGCTTTCTTCACACGCTTGCTGCTGAGCAGGAACAGACTGCCAAAGCAAAGGAACGTTGCCAACTGCATTATCTTTTACTTCATCTTCATGCATTTCTTCTACCTTGCAGTCTCCAAGTATTGTATATGACAGAAGCCTGTAACAAAAGCGGTAGGCTAGCAACATAAAGAAGGAAATAACAAGAGTGAACTATATTGACAGTCACATCAGTTAATACATAGCTGGGTAGGTACTTGTTACTGCAGGAAACAGAAATATTCATTGAGAGTTCCTCCCTCACATTGCCTGGGCTTTGATGGGAATAAACATAAAAGTATGAATTATTGAGAGAGATCCTTTCTGTACCTCCATAGTCAAAACAGCAGCTGTTAGCCTGATAGTGAGGAACGCATCTGCAGTCCCCCAAGTTTCAGAGCAAAGAGTTTCCCTTTGAGCTCCCTCAGTCACCGGTGCGAGGCTTGCTCTGCCCTGAGGAATCATCTGGACCGGGCACTGGGTGATCAAGGGTACGAGAGCTGGCAAGCGTGCTGGGGCGAGAGAGATTGAGGAGAGAAATAACTCTGAAGTTCACATTTTAATGCCCAGATGACCTGCAAATAGTGACAGATAGGGAAGTGCTGCTGGGGACAAGTCATGGGAAGAATTGATCATGGCCTAGAGAGCATTTAAAGTGCTCTGCTGTAGCAGATAGATTTTGTTTGTGCTGTGCTCTTCTGCAGTAATATCAACAAAGTCTCACCCAACAGAACTATTTGGCTGATGGAAAAGCTGGCATAACTTGGCTCCTGCCAAATGAGCCAGGTGTGTATTGGTATGTTTTTTTCCCCTGAAGTGTGTTTTCCAGCTTCTCTGTGGCTGTGAGCCCTGCAGGTTTGAGCATGCTGACAGCGCTCTTCATGTTTTGCTAAACCTTCTTCTGTGAAAACGCTTTGGGATTTTTCTCGCTGCGCAGTCGAGCTCCCAGCCCTGCACTCAGAGCCACAGGCTCATGGCCCTCACCAACCCTGCGGCCCTGGGAGCCAGTGGGCTCTGCACAGATGCTGCAGCCCAGGCGGGTGCCTCTGCGGCAGCGCTGGGGCCACCGTCACCAGGAGGCAACACCTGGGCCGCAGCGCCAGCCCGGGCCGTCCGCGCTCATCGATGGCAGCAGCCAAGGGGCTCTGCGGCCCTCCTCGCTCCAGCTTAACACGAGCTCTAACATTACTTAATTGTGATGGTAACCTAAATGTTACTGTTTAAATACTAACAGCCACTACAAACAGCATTCATTTAAAACCTGAAGTGAAGCAAATCTGCATCACAGATCATGGAAAAGTTGCGCTCAAACTGATATTTGCTGATCTTGCTGCCCTGCTGCAGTGTCGTGGGGCTTGTATTTCATACGCTTTAGTGAAGCTTTCAAACCAGTTTTTACTGCTATATTGTATTTTGCCTGCAAGAATTGAAGGCATCAGTAAGGTCTTTCTCAAGAAGCTTTCATTTACTACCTTGTAATGGTGTTAGTGTTTTTTTTAATGTAGAAACTTAGATTTGTATCCTGCACAAACATCACTGAGCACTTCCAAAACATAGACTTATTTATCTGAATATGAGTTTCTCTTTTTCTAAAAAAAAAAAAAAATAAAAAACCTCCTCCCCCTTTTTTGCCCACCCTGAAAAATGAAGTTTATACTTGAACACTTTTTAAATGTATGTAAGAGGGATTTAGTGGCTTTTATGGCTTATTAAAGGCCTTTAAAACAGGCATCTCTTTTTCTCTGTCTGATTGTTGTTGTACAACATATGATGAGAAAAAGGGAAGGTGAATTTAGTCTATTAAGACTCCTACTCAGAAGCATGAATGAAGAATAAGACAAACTGGACTGAGAAGACAATTCTTATGTTGTGTTTAAAGTTAGAAAAAAATTCCATGCTGTTACCTGTACTCAACAATTCTTTAACCACCTGTTGTGGATGCCACTAAAAATCTCTTGCTCCACGCCAGGGATCAGGGAGGAAAAGCAGATCAACGTTGATACGCCCATCCTCGTTCCTCAGAGCTGCATGTTCAGTTCCCTTCCTGAATGGGGAGACCCCTCTCTAAAATCCACTAGATGGATTTTAGAAAAAACTTTTTAACATCAACTCAGGCTTTGGCTCTACAAGGAGAAATTATTGTCAGAAAATGCCTGAATGCTTCATAAGGACATATAGCAAAGCATTTAGTTTGAAATCAAAGCTTCTGTCTTTGAACTATGTTATTATACTTTTGGTGTCAACAGTGTCAGTTCCTGCCCAAGTACCTCACTATTGGTACCAAATGTGTTGGTACAACCACTCTCTCTGCTTGAATGGAAGCAGCTGATCTCATAAAACCACTCGTGTGGGATGTTTCTGGGCATTTCCAGCCTTTCAGAGGTGTATCTGTCTCCTGGGCCTTGTTAGGGTGGAGGTTGCCTTGTTCATCGTGAATACAAGGAGCTGGCTCTGTTGTCCCTTCAGAAGACAGTACTTGGTACCGTCATTTCCTGTCTTGCATTACTTTTTAAATTTAGACTGTGTGTACATCCAGCTGGTTGGTTTCTCAATCTCTCATTACCTTTTATTTAATTCAGTGTCACGTTGACTCTAGATATTTACGTCCAATTCATGCTTTTGAAGATTTTTTTTTTAATTGTTTTCTGACTAACCAAATTTAAGTAACATGCGATAGAAAAGAGATGAGCTGCGTTACATAAACGACTAGGATGAAGACTTGTAAAACCTGGTAAACACACTGTAACATCTCCCTCCTGTATTTATTGCATATGTAAAACGACAGTGGGTTTTGCATTGCTGCAGCTTTGTAACCAAGTACTTTATTAGCAAAGTCTGTTAACAAATGTTGCCTCAGCGCTCCTCTCCCTGTGAAACTAAAAAGTTCTCATGGTCACAGAGGGGCCAAGAGTCTGCTGTGAATGTTTTAAATTTCTTATGTGTGACAATGTATTTCTTTCCAGTGTTTCTATGAAGAAAAATTGAGTGAGTTTGCTTTAGAAGAAAGTAAAAGAATGAGCCCCCCAAGTAGTTGTTATTGCTGAGAATATTGCAAAACTTAATGATACGTGGAAGTCTTTAAGTGCTGGCTATAAATCACGGGATTATGAATAAGGCTTTGTTGTCCCGGGTGTGTGTACAGTCATTCTGGAGCGGCTGCCATTAGGCTGCAGCGAGGCAGCTGTCAGCTGTTTTCTTGTAATTAAACAGCCAATGAGCAACTAATTAAGACATATGTGTATACAGAAGTGGAAGTAGGTATGTTAATGAACTGTAGGAATCAATTCATTAAATGAAAATCTGTCAAAAGGAGAAACTCGAGATGAGCGTCGGAGGCGGCGCCTCACGGAGAGGGCGCCCGCGCCGCAGGGCCGGGGCCTGCGCGGGGCTCTGAGGCAGCCGCAGAAGTTGGGCACAGGCTTTGCAAAAGCATTTCCAGCTCTTCTTTAGCCAGTCAATAGTCAAACTGACTAGCAGATAAAAAATTCTGTGCTCTTCTTTCCTAAACTTGATTTTCGGCAGTGTTTGAAAACCCAGCTATAAGGGACCTGACACACAGGCCGGAGCACAGGCCCGGGTGTGCGCTGCCCTCTCTCGCAGGGCGCTCACCCTGTGTGGGTGATGCTCCCGTGTGGGTGCTCCCAGCAGAGCATGCAGGGATCCATGCAGCAGCCTTGGGCACGGGCTGGCTCCGTGCGCTGCCCCCGCACACCCTCCGGAGGCAGCCGGAGCCCTGACGCGCCGCGTCTCCGCGGTGCGCGAGAGGCCTGAGCAGAGGGGCCCGGGCCCCCGCGCTGCGCCCTGCCTGTGCGGTCACCGGTGCGGCCGCAGGTGCCTCCGGAATGATACGGGACACTAAGGACGACTGAGAGGTTAGGAAGCGCGTAAGTGAATGACAACAGGAGAGAACAATTTTGTGAATAGAAAGAAAATAAAAGGTTTGTGATTTCATCACCAATTCAATCCCAAATCTTAGATGGGAGCATTTCTGAGCTTACAAGTTTAGGTTCATTTCTGTTCATTTCAGCAAGTTTAGGTTCATTTCTAAAATTTGCGGTTTGGCTTTTTTTTCCATCTTCTTTGATTGCTGCTGCTGTTTTCAGCATGCCCCTGTATGGCTGCAGTTTGTTTGGAACAGCACTCTGTTACATCTCTGCCTTGGCAAAGTGCAAGTGCTTTTAAAGGCCTCAGTTTTAGGCAGTTCTGCTCTATTGAAAATTTAGCTTCAAGCTGTAACTTAGTTGATATATTGTACACTAAAATGTATTGAGCAGCTGTGTCTCTAGGGAAAATCTGGAAAAAGCTAAAAGCCCAGACATTTTTCCATTATAATGCTAAAAATAGTCCTCCTCTTGACAAGATATTTCTTGATAAAGAGAAATATGCCTAATTGACAATATAGATATCTAGCACAAAATTGGATCCCAGCTAAAGGAAACTGTATTGACCTTTGAGGTCCTGGGCCAGGCTCATTTTAGCTCTTGCTCAAGCTGGCTTTTCGGGATCCCATGCTGGCAGAAGATGTAGTAAAGTTTGTGTACAGCCGTGTCAGCCAGTGCAGCTGTTTGGAGAACCCAAGGGGGCAGTAAGGGGAGCTGCAGAGCCTTCATCACCGGCGGAGCTGGCATCTCGCCCTGCTTGTCCAGCGCACACAACTTGCATTGCGGCGAGACCTTTCCGGCAGCGCTCGCGGAGCTGCAAGGGGAGCTGTCTGCCCCGGCACCCGCAGGGTCCCTTCCTCAGGGTGAAATGCTCTCCATCAGACCTCGGTATCTGCAGTACTGTCAGTCCCGTGCCCCTGCTGACACACACTAGAAGAAAGTTGAAATGGAATCCCACAGAAACAAAGTTCAGAATAAAGAGAAAAGAGGCAGTGTGCAGGTGTGTGGGACTGAGGGAAGGCATTCCCGTTTCCCCGGTGGTTGTACTCCGTGTGTCCCAGCAAAGCCCTCGTGCTGAAGGCCGAGGTCCTGCTATAACATGGTGCATCTGGCTTTGTGTGGGGCAGCTGTGTGGCCCTCTGGGTGGCAGGAGGCTTGCGAGGACGTCCCTTACTTGTCACGCAGCGATGCCTGCGGTTTAGTCCAGCGAGCGTCTGGGCAAAGGGTGCGTGTGCCAAGGCACTCCCGAGTGTGGCCTTCGAATAAATAAAAAATTGGTAAAAGTCCAGCTTTAATTAAAGGGTGCCCAGCCTTTCTGAGGAAGTATTTTCTTTGCAACACTGTTAATTAATGCATTATGTAGCAACATAAAACTAAAATACTGTGTTCAGTGCTCACAGCTGCCTCTTTAGAGTGACTCCATCTTCCCAGCATTCCTGTGAGGCCGGTGCCAGGCACGCAGCAGTCTGGGCAAACAAAGAAACAAACTTCAAAGCAAGCAGCTGCCCAGGGGTTAATGAAATGCCCCACTCGGATGGGGAGCCCTGAGTCGTAGCTGCTGCGTAACCTTCCAGGGCTGGTTCCCCGGCAGAAAGGATTACCCCTTGCTGTCAGCCTGGAAAGAGAAAATAAATACATGAATGAAATGTTTCCCCTTTCCCCTCCCTAATAATTACAACCCGAGTAGAACCGGAGCTCAGGTGTCGCCATCAAACCTCTTGCTCCCCTTCCGTAACAAATGTTGTTCTTTGCAGAGGGGCTGCGAGCCTGGAGTGAGGCACGATGGCAGCCGTTGTCCACACCGGTGGCCACGCTCGCTGTGTTGACCCAACAAGGATGAGGGAATCAAGCAAATCTGGGTTTCTGGTTAGCTTTATGGCCTCTAGAAAGAATCAGTATATAGTGTTACCATGTCTTATACAGGGTTTGTAAAATCACGGAAAAAATGTGCAATTCCATTGTGAGTCATAACACTTTTTTATGAATTGTTCTCTGCAGGTTACTGGTCTTTATTTGTTTCCAAGAGGAAAAAAAAAAAAAAAAAAAAATTCCCTTAGTTGCTTAAACTGCACTTGAATATCATTTTCTGTTCGTTGTGCTGCCTTCCAGAGTGTTTCTTCATCCATTAACAGCTTCTTGACTTACATTTTGCAATTCTACCACAGGGCTTTTTCAGAAGGAGTCAGCAAAGCAATGCTACCTACTCCTGTCCTCGTCAGAAGAACTGTTTGATTGACCGAACTAGTCGAAACCGCTGCCAACACTGTCGATTACAGAAATGCCTTGCTGTGGGGATGTCTCGAGACGGTGAGCTCTGCTGCTCTCCTTTAATTGCGAAAAAATAATATATCTTTTACTGTGTATTCAGCTGGAACAACATAGCATTTAAAGTTCTTGTGCACCGAGCTGACAGTGATCTCTGAGTAGCTTTTATGTGTTGTTATACATTTACATAAATATATATAATTCAGGACATGTATGAAGTTCTTGATATTTTTCCACTCATACTAAAGTTCTCAGTGAAGATCTTGGCTTCTAGTGACTTCTTGGAGATGCAGTTTCTAGTCTAATATTAGTACTTTCTTTATGTGTTTGCTTCTACTTAAATGACATAGCTTAGTTGCAGGTAACAATTTAGTGTGTTTTCTCAAACCCCTGTCTTTTTTTTTTTAAGACTAGATCCTGAAGAAAATATGTTTCATTGCAGTTAACATTAAGCTCAAAATTACACCTAATATAATGATGAAAATGTACCTCACTATAAAATGGAAGCTTATATAACACAATTAGAACTGGATTTGCAGCTGATATTTGCACACCTCCATAGATTTAATGAAGCTGCCATCACTTACCCAAGATCTGACTCAGTCTTTTCCCCTTCAGTGGTGACAGCAGCATTACATGGTTCTGCAATACATACTCATTGCTCCATGCACATGAAGCCTGCTTAAGAAGGAGACAGTTTTCAGATTACATTTACTCCTTAAATTACACTGTTATCTTTTTTTTTTTTCAATTGGGTGTGAAACTAGAATCCTGAAAGAGTTGATCCTGTAATGACCAGTTCGTTTGCTTTCCTATAGAGAAGTACAGGTTGGTAGTCACCTTCCTAAACTATGAAGCTGTTGTAGCTGACAGAAGTCCTAGAAGTCACATACCATATTCTCAGGAATTCACTGGACATGCCAAGCCAGTTGCTTCTGGCTTACACCTAATATACAAGTTTTCAAGTTAGATTTTTTAAAGTATTACTTATTTGGAGTGTGTGTGTGTGTGTATGGTTTTTTTCAGTAACTTGGTAAACATTTTAGCCAAGGAAAATCTTCGCTAGTCACAGTAAGCTTCACTGAAAGCTGTTCCTGTGGCTTTCCCCATGTGCTTTGGTCCTAATATCAGTAAAGCTTGCTTTTGATATTTTTGGAATATTCCCTATATGCTTATACTTAACTTCTACATTCGCTTTGTAACCTGGATATACAACTAGTAGGAATTAGGCTGTTCATCTAAGACCAACATATTATTATTTAATTAATATCAACTAATAATTTTATATGTTTGATTTCAATGCCTAAGAGATCTATCTGCCAACTTCAGTGGATCTGTAAGAGAAAGTCTTTTAGGTACAGAAGTGGAAAGCTAAGGAATTAAGCTAAAATGGTAATTCTAAAGTCCAGGATAGATAGGATGCTAAAATTGTCTTTCCAAGAGTAGATGCTGGAGTTCAGTTACTCCAGTGTAAATGGCAGATGTGATTTTTTAGGTCTGCTCATCTTGCCTTTTTTTAGTTTTTTATACTGTGTCCTTCACTGTAGTATTTAAAGACCCAAGACAATGGCAATACAGGAGCAGTCTATAGAAATGAAATGTATTGTGTGTCTGTATTTCAGCTGTAAAGTTTGGTCGAATGTCCAAAAAGCAGAGGGACAGCTTGTACGCGGAGGTGCAGAAGCATCGAATGCAGCAGCAACAGCGAGACCACCAGCAGCAGCCAGGAGAGGCAGAACCACTCACACCGACATACAATATCACCACCAATGGGTTAACAGAGCTCCACGACGACCTCAGTAATTACATTGATGGGCATACCCCTGAAGGTAGCAAAGCAGACTCTGCAGTTAGCAGCTTCTACTTAGACATACAGCCTTCTCCAGATCAGTCGGGTCTTGATATTAATGGAATCAAACCAGAACCAATATGTGACTACACAACAGCATCGGGCTTCTTCCCTTATTGTTCTTTTACAAATGGGGAGACCTCTCCAACTGTGTCCATGGCAGAATTAGGTAATGAGAGAGAAAAGCTTCCATTGTAACTGTCTTAATAGTACCCTTTGGATTAAATTGACACATTTAGGCAGGCGATAGCGAGAACACTGTGTCAGTTTGGCTGTGAGCATGTCCAGGCATGCAAGTGCATGGTACCCTAATGGTGGCACGTGGGGAACACCTTACAGAACTGAGCAAAAGGTCCCAGGGGTTTGCGGTTAATCAGATCTAATAGAATTGCCCTTGTGTGAAATCTTTCTAGTAGAACTCTCTGAATACTCATTAACGAGCTAATTTTAAGCACTGAGCTGGCATACAGAGTATTTCTTCATTTGCAGATTATTTTTGAATGTTTTATCATTTTTTTTGTTATCTGTATTCTGTTTTGTAACACAAAATGATGAAACTGATTTTCTTTTGCTCTTTACCTGTACCTGGGAAAATGGAAACCAAAACACCAATCTAATGTGGGGCTGGGTCTCCTCTACACTGCTCGGGGAGGAGAGTCTTGCTCCAGATACTTTACATGTAGCAAGTTCTGATAAATTCCCTAAGATCCTTATAATGCCAGTAGGTAGCACGCCTGGGTTTGCAATGATCACGCTCGGGCTGGAGTCCACAGGAAGGACCTTGTCAACATGCACGGCTTGAGTTAGAGCACGCTCTGTGAACTGCTTATGAGCAACCTGGAACAGGACATTAAAAAAAGAACTTTAAGATTCTCCTACTCATTTATGCAGTCAGGGTTTTAAAACATCACTTTTGCTTGCTTAGACGGCATTTTTGCCAAATACTTCATTATGAAAGCAACCTAAAAATAGTTTGAAAAATCAAATGTTCCAAGTTATTTTTTTAAATTAGAGGCTAATAATGTGATATGAAATTTTGCTAGTTTTCTTTTAGTTTGTGCTCTTTTGAGAAATGTTGCAGAGAAGGAAAAGAAGGCTTCTTTTTTTAATGTCTTCGTATTGCAAAATGCGGTTCTTTGCAATTGAATTTGTTGTGACAACCAAAATATGGTATCTGGCTTGAGTTCAAGTAACTTCAGTTACAGATGAATAGAAATGTGAAGTAAAAATGAGGATAAAGGCTCTGCTAGAAACTTTATCTCAATCAAATGGTTATTAATGTTTCCATGGGAGCTATTAATAGATTAAATTAAACTCTCAGAAAGAAGAAGGGCCTTTTACTTTTTAGGCCAGGTGTTGAGTTTGGAACACTGGCGTAAGTTTGTCATATTACTTACCTTTATTTACATAGTTCTTGCCTTGAAACCCTCTGGAACGTGTGCTGGGTGCCCAGCAGTGACATTGCCAAACAATGTTTGGAGAATGTTTGTCTTCCAGACGGAGGTTCCAATTTAGGAGGTGTGGTTGCTCAATGAAAGTATTTAGGTGTGTGCCTAAGTAGGGGCCAGCGCTGAGGCCTGGCTTGGCGAATGCCTTGCTCATATTTCATCTTCTGCATCCTCCAAGGGCACGGGCCTGAGGCTGTCAGATGCTGCAAGGGAGTGCAGAAGTTGCTTTGAAATACCTGCTTGTAAACAAGCTGCTCTGAAATACATGAAAGCTTCAATGACAACAAAAATGCGAGCTGCTTTCTGCCCAACATTGTCGATTGTTTCTGTGGCTCATAGCACCTGATTTTGCTGAAGTATCCTGTATCTTAGCTACATTTTGGGTGTTATCTGAAATCAGATGCTGAGTGCAGTAGCTGCGATAGGGAGTAGGTGGATGGGTGCAGCAGGTCAGGCTGTCAGGAGCTGCCTTTGGTTGTGTTTGAACTGGGAGGTTTCCTGGGGGACCTGACGGAGGGCTCCTGCAGGATAGTGGTGGGCAGGCGCGCTCCCGCCAAACCTAGCGTCTGTGTCTTCAGGTAATAGTAATAAATACTCTCTAATGAGTATATTTTATAAATAAATATTCTCTAATGATTCTCTGGATTCTCTAATGAGTATGTTTTCCTAACACTTTTAAAAATCAGATAGTAGGAAAAAAAATAGCAAGTGTTTTTTTTTTTCTCCCTCAGAGGAGCCTTTGTGTGCTAGTGTCGGGCTCGGTAGGACGCTGACTGGATTCTCACTATCCGCAGGTCTTTGTGAGGAAGTTTCTGTTGTATCAAGTACAAACGAGTGTTTTGGAGCTGACCCGCGTGGCTGAGCGCGCTCGGTGCTCGCTGCCCGCGAAGCGCGTGGCGCGGGTTGGGCCGGGCTCCGCTCTGCCCGTCCTGCGCTCTGCCTTGCAGGGTCAGCACCTCTCGCACTGGTGGTTTTGCTATGGCTCCTCTCTGCCCAATTTTGATAACTGGCTTTAGCTCACTAAAAACAGCAAGGCCACTTGCTGAGTTTGCAATAGATTGCACCTTCCCTTGGTTCCCCTTCATTTTGCAAGTTTTCCTGTCTCAGCTGCTTTCTTTGGTACCCACTTTGGTGTTAGAAAGAAGTTTGTCCCAAATTTAAATTTATTTATTCAGGGAGGAAAAAAAAAGTTCACCCAAGGAGCACAAACAAGCGAAAGGCCTCTGCATGGTCCTGTGCTGAAGTCGAGGACGAGGGCTGCGGAGGAGGAGGCGCGCGTGTGCAGGCTGCCCTCTAATGGGGCCGGCCTCGCGTCCCGCTCCGCCGCCCCTGCGCCTCTCCTCGCCTCCTCTGGGGAAGCAAAACCCCGGGACACAGGGAATTAAAGCATTTTTTTCTAACAGCCAACACCTTCCCCTCTTCCTCCCCCCAAAAATTTGCAACTGCAATGTGTTAGTTTTATCGTGTCTAAAGGTATAGCCTTGCATAATATATATGTGTGTGTATGTTTGTGTCTGTGTGTATAATACATATATGTATTTATTGTAAAATGTCTACCTTTTGGTCTTTCTCTTAGAACATCTTGCACAGAATATTTCCAAGTCACACATGGAAACTTGCCAATACTTGAGAGAGGAGCTACAGCAGATAACATGGCAGACTTTTCTGCAGGAAGAAATTGAGAACTACCAGAACAAGGTATAAAAGCATGTCAAACTACAGCATGCTCTTAAAAAATAATAATAATAATTAAAAAAAAAGCATGGTTGGCCTGTGAAACTTCAATGTGAGCACATGTGGCCTGTTCTGCCCTCTCTTGCTTGATATCTGATGGCCTAGTATTAAATAGTCTAGTATATAGCACTGTATTTCTAATCCAACTGTTTCTGACATGAATAAGATTCCCCAAATCCTGATTTAAATAAACCTATAAAATTTTAAGTTAAAAAAGTTTATTCTTAGTATTTTATTTTTGTATCTGGAGTCTGCAAGGTTGAAAAATTCTCTCTGTATAAGAAACTGATCTCCTCGTAGTCAGCTATTGAAACCTGGAAGTATATGATAAGCATTTAATCTTACTTTATTTTTTTAATCGAACTAGGAAATCTGCCATTGCTATTTATGACTGTGAGAAATGTATAGTTTACTGAACTCAAAGACTCTTTGCAAATATATTTGCAGTTGAAGTCAGTTACATAGTTGCTACTTCTAATGATAGTTAAAATAATGCTAAAAATACTAAATAGCCCATAAGAATGTAATTTTTTAGTTTTTAGGTAGTTTCATTGTGAATTATTAATAAACATTTGAAAAATTACTATGTGCCTTATTTATGGTATTTACAAGATAATCTTCGTATCTGTATGTCTTTATCCTTATAAAGACCTGATCGCTAAATAACTTCCATGCAGCAGGAAATGCGGAAGTTGACAGGAAGCATCTGATTATGCATTGAGAAGTTAGCTCTGCCAGTGTATTTTCTTTTGAGGAACAAGTAAAAGTCCCACTGAAATCATCAGATGCTTGGACACTTTTTGGTCATGAAACAAAATATCCCAACCTGGATCTCTCTGATGCCACCAAAGAAGTCTGAAAGTCATCCACATGAGACTTTGTTTTTGAGGTTAATTCCCCTTGTCTTATTAGCAGCCTGTAGGCAAGTGTGCAGGAGAAAATGTGTTCTGATTTGTTTTTCAGCTAAGTTTTGCTTTACAAGAATGGGCTTTCTAACCTTGATTAATAACTTTCCTCTCAAACAGCAAAGGGAGGTAATGTGGCAGTTATGTGCAGTCAAAATAACAGAAGCTATACAGTACGTAGTGGAATTTGCCAAACGCATTGATGGCTTTATGGAACTGTGTCAAAACGATCAAATTGTGCTTTTAAAAGCAGGTATGTTGGTGAATTTTAAGCTTTTTTTCCAGTTACTTTTGACTAAGGAAGTGCATACAATGACTATATACCTATATATGTTGGACAATCATCTTTCAAAATATTATGAGGGGAAAAAAATGTGCTGCTTTGTGTGAAGTAATATGCTTATTTTAGATATTCTGAGGAGAAAAGTTTGAATCTGAATTACATTTTCATTTGGAACAATGGGAGCAATGACTGCATAAAGAGACTCAAAATTTTGGATTTGTAATAGCAAATAACATTTTAAGATAAAAATCTAGATAGTTTTCCACAACGTCTTGTAGCATTAATGCAATTTACTGGGCATAGGCTTATGAATTTCATTCTGATGAATTGTTTGACTTCAGAGAAGTTACTCTAGCATATAATTACTACTTATTAGCATTAACAGTTACTTTAGCAAATCACCCTAAAGGGGTCTTTGAGAATTACATTAATGCTACTTGCGAATCGAACACAAACACACGAAGACTGCTACCCTACTTGATCTGTACTGAACTGAGAGCATAGGACATGTATAAATCCTCACTGGCTCTTTGCAATTGAAGTCCCTCCTTAAACAATCAAACTTATAATGTTTCTATCTTAGGGTCTTTAGAGGTTGTGTTCATCAGAATGTGCCGTGCCTTTGACTCCCAGAACAACACAGTCTACTTTGATGGCAAGTATGCTAGCCCAGAGGTTTTCAAGTCCCTAGGTAAGAAATTTCAAGTGTTGCATTTGAAACAAAAGAATAAAAATCATAAGATGTAAAAGCTAGAGGCCAGCTGCTTTAAAAAGTGACTATAATATGTAAAGTTACTATAAAAGTATTGTTTTTATTAAACTACGCTTTATTATTTTGAGATATTTGCATATTTTTGCTTATTTTAAAAGGATGCATTTAGTTTGGCTTAGGATTTGGTGTTTGGTAACCTGTTTTGGAGGGGCAGTGAAAAATGGCAGTGAGAATATGGCAGTGAAGAATGCTGTACAATGATTGAAGCATTCCCTGCCTTTTTAAAACACTGTAAAGTATAAAGCCAGAGTGCAAATACTTCAGAGTGCAGTATCAGGTGTGGGCTTCTACCCAGCTTCTAATGAAACAGTTTCATCTTTTTCCAATCAGACACAGAAATTTAAGTTGTGCTTGGAGCTGAGAGCTGCGGAGGAAAGCCTGTTCCAACACACATTGCGGTTCCCTCCAAAGCAGGGCTCTGCTTTTGCAAACTAGGAGAAGCGAGTGTAGCAGCTTCATTTACACGTGGGTGACCCAGAGCCTGGATGAGAATATGAAAGGACACACAGAGTTCTCTATCCACACAAAAAAGCTTTCAGACCTTGCTCCTGCATGGACCTTGTGTGCCTGCCTCCCCCTCCCTCTTCTGTGTGCTCTGTACCCTTAAAAACCATCATTTTGCCAGAACACATTTCAAACAGCCTGTCTGCAGCAGCAAGAGAAAGTTTCATTTAGAAAAACCGCAAAGCTAAACTGAGGCTGAGTATTCTAGCCAAGTCATATAAAGATGAAATCTACATAAAGTGTTTAGAAATTTGGGAGAAAAACTAGCCAAACTTCATTTCTGAGGAGTTCAGAATTTGAAAATGGCTTGGGTTTTTGTCCATATTTATCTGAAAAGAATAGCATCTGGGAAAAATAGTACCTACAAAATCCCCCCAAAATGGCTGTCAGGGTATGGAAATTGGGGACTTAGTGGGAGTGGGGCAATAGCCTCTGCTTTGGGTGAGATCTCTCTGCTGTTACTTCATGATCCTTTAAAGAGAAGAGTATTCACCTACAAAGTATTCTACAGCCATCTTTCACCTCCTTCAGAATAAATAAATTATTCAGTAACTCGAAGCAGAAGCAGTTTTAAATCGTTTGGCATGTACCTTCTTTCTGGCAGGTTGTGAAGACTTCATCAGTTTCGTGTTTGAATTTGGAAAAAGTTTATGTTCTATGCACCTGACAGAAGATGAGATAGCTTTGTTTTCTGCATTTGTTTTAATGTCTGCAGGTAAGAGATTAAGTATTGCTCTAAGTTTATTTGGTAGAGATTATTTTTATTCTGAAGCCTTTTCAGTGATAATGCTAAGACTATCAATGTGAAATGTTGAGTAAGTGCCCCCTTCCTAACCAATATTTTGATTTTATTTTATTCCATATGTTGCAACTGTGAATTTAGAGATAAATCTGCTGAAAAAGTGAATCTTAATCTAATCCCCTATTTTCCATTTTTTTTCTGCTTGCTGAGGATGCTGCTTCTTTAGAAAAGTTGAAATGCCTGTGAATGAGGCCACTAGGGCAGTCTAAGCAGGCAGGCAGAAGACAGCCACTGAATTTATAGTCAGCTTCAACTGTGTGGGGCTTGTAGCTGTAGCAGAAGGTCTCAGGAACATGAAACCCGTAGGATGAGCACGTCCAGTGGCAGCTCAGATGTGCCAAGCAGGGTGGCCATTCCAGCGTGCTACAAAGGTGCTGGGGCAGTTGTGTCCTAGCGTAGATACCTTCATGGCACCGTCCCGAAGCGGAACACACTGGGACTCCCAAGAGCCAGTCTGGGTCCAGGACATTCACTGGTAAAATAACATTGCTGTAAGTTCTGGGAAGGCTTCTTAGGTTGGGGGCAGCAAGGCATGAGTGCAGAAAGCCGGTCTGCATATGGCATGCCACTCTGGGGAGTGAACCCTGGCCTCAGGCAGGAGCACAGTGGACCCATTTCCTGGTGCACTTGTTGGGTGTTACGCGGTACTAGCAGTGTTCACTCTGTTTGTATTTAGATCGTTCATGGCTTCAGGAGAAGGTAAAAATTGAGAAACTCCAGCAGAAGATCAAGCTAGCACTTCAGCACGTCCTGCAGAAGAACCACCGAGAAGACGGAATTCTAACAAAGGTGAGAGGCCTGGCGGCCCATGGCACAGGGTGCACCCCTACGGATCAGCAATATCATAATGTTGCTAATTTATACTGTATAATCTCAGAATTATTCCAAATCTAGCTGCCTAGATGAAATAATTTGCTACAATGGGGAGGGATGAAAAGATATAAAGACATGAATGACAGTGATTTTAATGACAGAAATTTTAATATTGAACTTCAGGAGCCATCAAAGCTTTTGTCCGTTTTTTCCTGCTGTGCACTGTTTCTACCACAGAGAATACTATTTCAGTTCTACAACATGCATGCCTTAATCCTCATGAAGTATCTCCCTGCCTGACAGTTAAATTGAGATAGGATGGAATATCTTAGCTAACCATGGTTTTTAGTATTCTAAGCAAAGTTTCCCCCACAGCCTTTTTCTCAGCAGTTCTTCCAAATATTGGTGGCCAGGGAAGAAAAAGGAGGTATTGCAAAATATTACGCTGATCAAAAATGCAAAGGCAGAGTTAAAAGAAAAACTGCAGTGAAGGACTGGGAAAGGAGAGATCCTTACAGATGTAGTTCATTTTATACCTCACCACAGCTGGAAAGTTAATGTTTATTTTCACACCACAGAAGTTAATCACAATAGAAGCAGGATGGCATAGCCTAATATAAAAAGCTTTTCAGATTGTCCTTGTTTCCAGCCTAGATCATATAATTCTCTTCCAAGCACATAATTTGGATACCTTTGTCGGAAGAGGAGGTTTCTGACATGTACTACATACAAATACGTAGTCAGAAATGTCAATGAGTATCTTAGTATTAGTAGTTTCAGATGTACACATTTTTCAGACTTGTAGAAAAAAATCACTGTTCTTTATTTGTCCTAAATGAAAATAGCATGATATATTGCATTTCCAACTCCTTCCATAATATTCACATTGGATTTAAAAAAAATCAGGAATGCTCTCTCAGGAATGTTCTCTTTCAAGAAAATTGCTGAACTGTATGAAAGAGGATGCAGTCATGAAATAGTGTATCAGTTTGGTGCTTGTGGTTTTGCATACCTGATAGACTAAGATAAGAAGATATCCTAAGGATTCATGTTTCTAGGATCTTAAAGAAGAGATTCTTTCACAAGTAGCAATAATACATTATGTAATATTTTAAGATTAAGAGATTAAAACTTATTATTAATTAAGAGATTTTTATATATACATATACATATATATATACACACACACTTAAATGTCACAAACATATTAGTTACTAAGCATCTGCAGTACCACTGTGAGGGTAAACACCTGAAGTGAACTAAAAGTGTCCGAGAGATCTTTAATCCTAGAAGCAAGATTGGGAGGCCTGGTTTCATATATGACCATATGACTTGTGTTCTTTTGCAGTTAATATGCAAAGTGTCTACTTTAAGAGCACTGTGTGGACGACATACAGAAAAGCTTATGGCATTTAAAGCAATATACCCAGACATTGTACGACTTCATTTTCCTCCACTTTACAAGGAGTTGTTCACTTCAGAATTTGAGCCAGCGATGCAAATTGATGGGTAAACGTATCATCTAAGCACTTCTAGAATGTCTGAAGTACAAACATTAAAACTAAAGAAAGGAAAAGAAAAAAAAATAAAAGAAAGAAAACCAAGACACTTTATATGGCCCTGCACAGACCTAGGGAGCCAACACACTGCACATCTCTTGGCGGTCGGGGTCAGGCGAAGGATGGGAAACAATGAAACAAAGTTGAACTTGTTTTTCTCATGCATATGATTTCCATTATGCCTACAAATATGGACCCTTTTTCTGTCTCAACTTCTCAATCCTTGACCTCTGTTTACACAGACTGAGGGTACTAATGTCAGAAGGTTGTTTTCTCTCGTAGTTCACTGCCCAGACTTTTGACAGAACAATCAATTTGTTGATCAGAACAGAGTCCTGCTAGTAGTCAGCGATTGGTGTGCATTGCAGAGAGCTCAGCATCAGTTTGCACAACTTGCTCATTGTTTCATGAAGGACGATTTTTTTTCACCTACCACTGTTTGCCAGTAGACAGAATGGCATGAAAAGGGTCCATAGCAATAGCAACAATAGCATTATAATATATTACAGGGTAAATGGGCATGAAGACTATATATAGCAAAAGAGATATTGTTTATATATTGTTTTAATTAATATAAAATGTAGTTACTGGTATAGCTTTTCTTGTTGAATTGATAAGGCACTTTCATTTTGCACCTTTTTCTTTAAATTAAATGCTAGCGTGTTCATTGTTGTGTTGCATGTGCACCAGAAATTCAAGTTTAACTGAAAAAGGTTTGGCAGGTACTGGTACATTGGGAGGTATTTATGCTGCTGTTTTCCATGTTACTTTTAGAGAGGCTGGTCATATCCTGAAATGTCTTTTCTTTTTAACAGTTTGATGATTTTTTTCTAAATTAAATTTCACTTCTCAGCTGTTACTTTAAAAGGTACTTTCGTTTTCTAATCTTTCAAACCTGGCTATTTAAAATTACAAGCCTAAATCTACATTTAGGCACACAAATAAAAAGTTTCATTTTCAAAGGTGCTGAGTTTCCAGAGTCAAGGTTTAGCTAAGCAACCACAGATCACTTACAGATAAAGACATACAGCATCTTTGAAAATCAAGCTATTAATAAATATATTTCTCCCCACCATAAATCCAGGTTTGAAGCTACTGACTCAAGTCTGTATCTACCATAAAAGTATGTGTGTATGATATGTATGTGGAAAATTAATTTTTACACATAATATTACATACTTTTATGCTCCATGTCGTAAACAATGCCTGCGGCCCCCAGCTCCATTCTATCAAAATCCACAGGAGGTTCATCTTTTGACTTCAGTGAGATCAGGTACTGACCCATTTTCCAAAATCCAGCAGTTCAATTTAGGGTACCTTAATAGAAAACTAACAGAATAGTAATAGAAATAGAGAAAAAAAATAATCGAAATTGCACTTTAAAGTCTCTCAGAGTAAGATATACTAATAGAGTAAAGGCACAGTGTTGCTAAATATGTTGTTTTGTATTCTGAGGCCTGGAAATCATTAGTATCATAAATCTGCATTCTGTAATTCCCAAGTAGTGATTCGTGCACTGCATAAATGGCCGATAAGCTGGATTTTGCAATCTTTATTACCATTCCCTTGAGGAAAAGTACAGTGTCTGGGTAAATTTGCCAAGATTTAGAAATTAAACCTGGTTCTGAAGGGAGCAGATCCACAGTAAACAACATCTGAAAATAAACTGTAGCCCTTTGAGCCAGAGGTGCTTAACCACTGTGGATGAGATGAGGAAATATAACCACCAGCTGCCTTGTCTGCCAGTACAAATAGGGTTTCTGATGAGGCACCTAAGAGAAAGCAAACAGCTTAGAAAAGAAAGATAAAAGGCAGGATGTGCTCCTCTGCTTTAACTTCCAGGGAGGAAGAGTTTCTCTCTGATTCTGTAGTCACTGGGAAGCACTGAAGTGAATAGAAGGCTGAAGGCTGCTTTGAGGAGGAACTAGGACAGTGGATCATTATGCCCAAATGAAGTGATTCTGTGGTTTGAACATGCTTCATGTGGGGTCAAATTGAGCCATTTAGCCTGTGACACCTGATAAAAGCTCTGTAACCTGCCTCTGGAGAGCAGCTCTGTGTCTTGGCTGATCTCGTCCAGCTGTCGTGGAGAGGTCCCCATGGGACCAGGCCCGCGGGAGGTCGGGACGGAGGGAGGCCTGGCTGGGAGCAGCCGCCGCGGCCTCGTCGCACCAGGGAGCCTGCCCAGAGCCGTTGTTTACTGACTGGAGCAGCTGGCATGATACGGTACTTCTAATGCTGTATTCTTGTTTTTAAAACAACCTTTTTAACTAACAAATCTTTTCTGAATGTGACCAGCCTTAGGTGCTAGTCCTGTAAAGATCAACTAAACTTAATCTCAGTGTCAACTAATGAATAATGAGGTAATATGACTTGTACTTTTTTAGTGTGAGACACAACTACTCATGACAGTAAGTAGATTACCAGGCAAAATGTTTGGGGATTAACTTTCAGTTGAGTCCCTTTCTGTTTCCTGATGAATATTAGTACTTTACTGGTTTGTTTCACGTCTACTTTGCAGTGTTTTCACCTTAAGTTATTGAAAACGCAAAAATTTGGAACATTGCTAATAAAATGCATAACCATAAGTAGGTTCCAGGTAGGGTCTTAGCCGAAAGCCAGTTGTGTCTAAATTGAGCTCCCGACAGGATCCCCAGGCTGGGGCCACGGAGCCGCCGCCAACGCGTGCTCGGCTCTGTCCGGGCAGGCCGGTCTGCGAGCCTGCTTGGCAGCAGAGCCCTCGTCCTCCTCTTGCACTCCCTGGAGGAAAAAGGGAATATTGAGGTGGCAGGGGCACTGCAAAGACCCATGTTGCCAGGGAGGTGGTTGTGAAAGGGGCCACGGGCTGATGGTCCAGGCAGGAGCCGTCCGGGAGCGGGCGCCCGCAGGCCGGTCACCTGGGAACACCTGCAGTCAGTGCATCTTCACACAGACATTTTCAGCACCTGTTCAGGTCAACGAGCAAAAAATGTGAGAATAGCTGAAGAAAAAGTAATAAGATACTGCTTTTGAATGAGCTGTTCCTTAAAACTTGCAAACACATTTTCATAGGCTTTTTGCATCTATGCATAGAGATGCTTTAGAGCTTTCTAGGAAAGAGGTACTACCATGTTGTCCTGCAAGCCCCTAGTGTGCTTCAGCATCTCCAGCAGTGTTCAGCTCTTTAAAAAACATGGGATTAGGTGAAATGGGAGGCTGTTTTTAAGTTTGGTTGTTCTTTATTAAAGCTTATCTATCTTAGTGTGGATACCAAGATAGCCGTGCGCGTGTGTACGTGTGTGCGAGAGTATGTTTGTGTGCACACCCGGAGAGGTGCGTGGCTGTGTGTGAGTGGCTGCTTCTAGGCTGTTAAGTGTCAATGGAATAAATAAAATGTATTCAAAATACGTAAGGCGAAAATAGAAGGTGGAAAAAAGATTTATTCTATACAAAGCCTTGTCTGGACCACTTTAGAGAGACTTCTATTTTTTTAACCCTTCTATAAATATTTGATGGCACTTGAAATATTCCTGCAATAAAATGTGATTTGTGTAAACATTAAAAAAAAAAAGATTTTGTAATGTGAAACAGTGAAAGAAAGTAATGTAATTTTTCTAAAAAACAAAAAAAACACAAACGAACGAACTTTGTATTATTTTCTTGATGGAATTTGTCTATTTGTCTTTGGAAAACTTTTTATTTCATTGAATGTGCCATAGTAGAGGTGTGTTTTCCTTTTTCTTTCTTTTTTTTTTGTTTTTTACATTTTAGATTAAAGGAATAGCTGTGTTACGACATTCCAAAATGCAAGATGACATAGCAGTCATGATTAAAAGGATTGATTAGTAAGCTTCGATCATTGTTGCTTTTTTTGCACATGTTCTTCATTCCTCTACAGTGCAATATGTACATAGAGCACTTGCGGGTGTAACCTTGATCCCTCAGGGAAAAATACATATTTGTACAGGATTTTTCTTTTTTTTTTTCTTTTTTTGCCTTTTTTTTTTTCGCTAAGGAATGTCGATTGAATCACTTGTCTGTTGTTGAGGGGCAGCCAGATAATAATCCTAAACCACTGTCACAAAGCATTGATTGTTTAATCATTTTGTGCCCTTTTATTATTTAAAAAGAAAAATAAAAGTTATTTTCTGACAGTTCTTTGTGCTGATTGGTGAAAAAAGGGTAAGTAGATAAGCACCTTATGATTGACTTAACTGTGAATGACAATCCATCTTGCTATCAACAACAGAAGCCCTATTATTTTGGAGTTGGGGATAAGAGTCAGAAACTAATGTGCTCAGGGATCTTCTAAAACTCTTCAACAGGGTGGCCAGTACTACTGGTGGGACAAATTATTTTTAAAATTACGAGTATTTCTTCCCCTTTCCCCTCTCCCTCTCCCCCAGGCACAAGTGAACTGGATAGTTTTTTTTTTCTTTTTTAAATCTAACTGCTTTTTAGAGTTTAGATTCCTTTATTCTAAATGTGTGCCTCATTCTGTTATACAGTTTTTTAGTATACCTACTCATTGGTCTTTATTTTGTTCCAAAGTACTCCAAACTGCTGAAAGGTTTTGCAGTTTTTCTTTAAAAAATAAATTAGTGCTGATCAATTAATAAATCTTGTTTGAAATTTAATTTCAATACCTTCTGTATATTTTATAATCATAGGACTATATTTTCAAGCTGAATTTCAGTGTTTTGCAATAGAAGATGAGTTTTCAGTATTTAAATTATTGTTAAAGAAAAAATCAGTTTGTCATAGGTTGTACAATATGAATGAAAAGGTGATAATTAGGTCTTGACAACAGGGTCAGATAGTAAGGAGCATAAATCTATAGAACAGGAGAGCAGGAGTTCAGGCTTTAGCTGTCATTGTTGCAGGTGAAGCAAAACACCTGAACCTGAGTGGAAGGAGGCACTGAAGTTGGAGACATTCTTTTCATATTTAGTACAACAATTACAGTGATGACAAGTGACCACAGTAGTGACAAAATCCAGCAATGTCTACTCTCCAAGTGCCAAACTGTAGGACCCTTTTAAGATGCAAATAGAAAAGTAAATAACCAACTCCAAACAAAACAAGCAAGAATCTGAGACTTTGCTAGATCAGGCAGACAGTGAATTTCTCCATCAAGCATCATTTTTTGTCTTGAGAAAGTGTCAGTTCACCAGGAGCTTAGGTTACTGCTGTTTCCTTTACTTCCACGGGTGTCTGGCTTCCAGTCGCTCACTCCATGTAGCCAGTAAATAGGGACATTTTCCTTAGCATACTACAGGCTGGGCAGTCCAGGGAAGCCTGTGGAGGACTCCCAGGGTGGACAATCGCTTAGCAAATACGGCCTCTTGCTCGCCTTGCAACCCACAGGATACGGTTTAACCGCGTGCCCGGGGATCCACACGCTACAGGGCTTTCAGGGGACTCTCAGAACTGCCATAGACCTTCCCCAGTCTGTACATTATAAGCTGTACGTGGTAATTTATTTTTTCCACCCCTCTTTCCCCCCAACAAATTCTTAAAGTCCCCCAAAGTAGATAAATTTGTTAATACAAACTTCAGAAACAGCTTTTAATAGCCAATATCCAAAAATAATAAGCAATTTAGTCTTGAGTATTCAGTATCTGAAATTCTACTTGTGCTACCTGATTAAGGTTGCACAGAAGAAATATCTATATTTATTTTCCTTAGCTGGAGAAATGTAACTATTAGAATGAAATTTTTATTATTGATACTAATATTTATTATTTTAAAAGTTGCATTCCATTAATATGTTTGAATATTAGCTTTGTACTGTCTGTTTGCTTAAGTTATTCCTGCCAGTAAATCATTTGGTGGAAATGAGGGCAAATACATAAGGAAACCAAATACAACAGAAAAGAAAGTTTTAAACATCAAATGAGTATTAAAATAATTGCAGTATGTGCTTCAATCCTAGTGTTATAACAACAGCAGCTGACTAAATAATACTACATCACTGGACTTGAGGGGGAAAATAGGTAACAATTAATATACAGTCTAATTTTGTAAGTTAATTCAGGTACTAAATAGAATTTTAACATCAAAATGAACGCTGTATTCTACCTTCTCCCTATGTAACATTGTCACTTACCTTGTTTTGCCTTTATCATTGGTAGAATATAGCAATAATACTTTATAGCAATAAGTAGGCTATCCAAATAAGAAATGGACATGATAAAGGCTTCAGATCGATACTCCTAAGTTCACTTCTTTGCCATAACATTCACCTGTATGTCTTCCCTCATAATTTTCATTACTTCTTGGAGCCTAATTTCACAGTCCAGCTGTTTAACCCCACGTGTGATGACACACTGTTAACACCTGCATGTTTCAGTGTCCTTATGTCCTTTGTGTATTTGTTGTCCCACAAGTCAGTGTTTCTCCGGCTCCGGGAAGCCCCTTCCTTCCCCTGGGCCGGTTCCTCGCAGGGCTCCCCGGGCCGGGGGCAGGAGCAGCTCCGAGCTCCGGCCCAAACGGCCCCCGACGACCCCCCAAGGCCCAGTGAGGAGGCGAACGCCTTGCAGGAACTTGCAATCTAACCTAATGCAGAGAATTCATAAGCAATACAGTGAATTTTACTTCACAAAAAAGTCATACGTACTGTACACTTTTCTAGATCCAAAATGGTCCTCATTTCTACATTGATTTAGAACCAACTTAAGGAACAGTGGTGAATATTTGAAATATTAGGACATTAACTGGCTGCTTCTTTATATGTAACTGTATTGTCTGCCTGCTCCTTTTCTGGAGATGTGTTTTTGTATTGGATGTTTGGGCCAATGGGAGGCTTCAAGCTACAATGTATTTTCCCAGTTTAAATATATTTAACATACGACAAACCCCAGACAAGGCTTTTTAAAATGTATAAAGAACTGCAGTGTTAGGTGGTTTATTTGCAAACTGTTTTCAATGTTGTCCATTTTTATGGCACCTTTAACAATATTCTTGTTTCCAAAGTACAAAAAAGGTTAAAAATACTCTAGCCATAACTGAATGTCAAGCAATAAAAACAAATGACTTTTTGTGCATAGATTTAAAAGAAATACAAGTTTTAGACATCTGCATGTAAATGCAATCTCTTGTTTACTGCTTTCTTAAACTTGAGCAACTGATTCCTTATTTTACTACTAATTTAAGGACTTGTAATGGCCTGTAAACATTTTATCTTGCTCTATTCTTTCAACTCTAACTTCGTCTCTGCTTTGGAGTCATAATATTTAATGTTGTTCTGCCCACCTCTATACAGTCAGCTTTTTGCTTTCATTCTGTATAGGTAAAGTTATCCTATAAACAGCCTACACAGTGCAAATATTTATCTGTTTATCAATACCACATTATGCTGTATAATATCTGTTTTACTATATAATCTATTTTAGACATAGCTGTTTAGAACTAGAGTGTGCTATTTTTGTGTTTTTCTGATGTGTGGTGCTAGATAAGTTACTTTTGTGAACAAAAGCAAACAAACCCCTTTTATTCCTAGACAATACCACCTTTGGGTCTTGTTAATTTCACTGAGTATAACTATATATAAATATATATATATTTGTGTGTATATATATATATATACACACACCTACATATGCCCAACAAGTACCTGTATCAGAGTACAAGATTTGGGACATGGTTTTCTCTTTAAATGCATAGTGTCATTATATATATTATTCTATAGTATATTTAATAAGGAGAAAATTACTTCACCAGTACAGATACTTGATATCAGATGTAGAATTTTTTTCTACGTTATTAAATTTATTAATTATTAACACATTATTAGAAATGTTCTGTCCAGATTGTTATCCTTTGAGTTACTAAAACAATCGGTCTGTATTGTATCAGGAAAAAAAAAAAAAAAGGAAAGAAAAAAAAAGCATCTAATCTAGTGGTATAACGGATTTGCAGTATGCTGTCTATGTGAAAGGGAGGTTGTTATTTGGCTGGTTGGAAGAGCTCTGTCCTGTTGTTGCATCTGGTATTTATAGATGTTACTCTGCTGGGTGCCTTCCTCCCTCTTCACTTTAAATAGGATCTGTACACACTCGAACTGCGGATGTTACTGGGCCTTGCCTACACACTTAACTTCAGTTACTGTATATAGGAATTTTCTGCAAATCTTCCATGCTAAAGTGATGGCTAAACCCAGCCTTTGGATGTGCTTTATAAACCGTGCATACACATCTAAGGACGGCCATTAGCAACTGAAGTTAACTAAGAAGTGGAATTTGCAACATTTTGTCAGGTCTGGGGGTTTTGTTTTTATTTTTCATGTATACCTTAATTTACATAGACTTGTACCCTTAAAAGTATTTCTATCCCCTACTCCTATTGTTCTAGATATTGTTTTCATTTTAATTCTTTAAAACCAATGGATATCAAATATCTAACTAAGGAGGTAATTAACCTTTTAAATATTTATTAGAATTTTTCTGTAATATTACTGAATTTATAAGATCTTTAGCAAAGATTTTTGAGCAATTTATTAAATACAATGTTTCTGTTTACTGCACTTTTTGATAATAGAAGGTAGTGAATTTTAAAGCCATGGTTCTTGGCTTCCATGCACTGCTTTTATACCCTCAATCCAAGGAATATATATATATAAATAATTTTTTTTAAACAGCAAACATACTGTTGTCCTAAAAATGAATACAAACTTTACTGCACCATGGGTATATTTTCGTAAGTAGAATGTTTAATTGCAAACACTATCAGGATAATTATAAAAACCTCTTGAAGCTACAATCTTATTTAAATATAAGCCATGACAATTTTATTTTCCCCTGTTGATTTAAGCCACTTTTTGATATTTTCAAAAAAAAAAAAAGTCACTGTTAAATTTGTATGTATTAACTTATACACGATGCTAGGAACACGTTCTACCTATTGTTTTAAGTTCAATAGTTTGATATATTTATGCAAAACCATTTAGTTAACATATTCTCCCTGTTGACTAAATGTTCAACGTAAAGAGACCAGAATAAATGCTGATTACAAACAAACGCTGGTTTGAGGATTAAGCACATAAACTTCAAAAAACCTCGTTGAGTGATGTACTCAAATGTCTGTAAATACGCGCAACTTTAAATGAGATGATACTGTACATGTAAGTATATGCTGTGTGTTATGTGTACAGTACGTGTAAATTCCTTTTGTAGCCACGACGAGCCGCAGGCCATCGAGAGGACACGAACGTGGTGGCATCGTACAAACCTTTGCTAATGATCTTTACCCCATCACTGCTCACGTCCATGGATCTTCCTCCCCGCTCACTCTCGCCATAGCCTGCTTATACTCAATTTGTTATTTTATTCAGTCCCGGAAAAAGTATTTTGATTCATTTTGTAAATACAACTGTAAAAATAAGAGATTTAATGTTGTCTTTTAAATACTCCAATTTTCATTCTAATATGAATGTTGTTATATTGTACTTAGAAACTGTACCTTTAATATTACATTACCTTTATTAAGTGCATTGAACACATCGATTTTAGATGTGCTTTATGTACTGTTATCCTGTAATAAAACTTCAGCTTCTAATGGAAAAAAAAAACCAACCACCCCCTGCCTTCCTCTTCTTTCGGCGGCAGCTCCGCGCCGGGCCGCGCGCGCCGCGCTGAAGGGGCGGGACCCCCCCTAAGATGGCCGCAGCCACCGCCGCTTCCGGCACCTCGAGGCCGAGCTCTCATTGGACGTCCCGCCGCACC